TGCAACTAACAACTACAACAAATCCATCCTTAATAGCAGTGATTCTCAAGAGTTCAGAGCTCTGCCCGATTTGTTCCCATACAGTCATTTTCCCTGTTGAAAACTCCATCCTAAACTTCAGGCAGGTGCTTCTCTTAGCAGCAAAAGGCCAGGATCTCTTGCCTGGGGTGCCCCCAGATTCAGTGCAACTCGGCTTCCTAAGAAAAACAACAATTAACAGAGTGTTTTTTTCCTGCTTCTTCCTTCCTTCCTGTTTGTCCTTTCATTCCCTAGAGGGCATTTTGAAGAAAAGAAAGATGTCAGGAGCACCTGCAACTTTGCAAGGTCCTTAAAACTCTTTCGGTACAGGAGAGAGGGGAAGGAGTAGAAAGAAAGGAAGGGAGAGGAGAGGAGAGGAGAAAGAAGAAAGGGAAAAGGAGAGGAAGAAAAGGGAGGGGAAAGAGGAGCAGAGGAGAAGGCTAGAAGGAGGGAAGAAGAGAGGAGTGGGGGAAGAGAAAGGGAAGTAGGAAAGAGGAGAGGAAGAACGAAGGAAGTAGGAGGAGAAAGAGGAAGGAAGAGAAGGGGAGGAGAAGAAGAAAGGTTGGAGTAAACGTAAAGGGTAAAAGAGCAGCCCCGAAAAAGTAAAAATGAAAGTTAAAAGAAAAGATGAATGAAAAATGATGGAAATGATTGTACATGTAAATGTGTTTATGAGAAATAAAAATAAAAACCCCTTTTTAAAAAAACTCTTTTCGGGAAAACGAGACCAAGTTGTGTGCTTATAATAACACAATTTAGGAAGCTTGGTTGAGGTGCGTGTACTTAGGAATCCAGATTTGTACAGATTATACAGATTCTTCCATTCTGTGGTTTAGTGGCATGGGTGTTGAAGTAAGTACTGTAGGGTTTAGTCAAACCCTAGTTAAAACAAGCTATTGTGTAGGACAATGTGCGAGAAGTCTTTGCAACACTTTGAGAGATAGAGAAGTGTTGGCAGACCCAAAGAGGTATAGAAATTAGAAGAATGGTTGAAGCACATCCTTTGTCTCCTGCTCGAGCTGGGGGTGGTGGTGGACTAGAAGACAGTAACAGTAGTAGAGTTGGAAGGGACCTTGGAGGTCATCTAGTCCAGCCCCCGGCTCACACAGGAGACCTATACTAGGGATTCGAACCGCCGAACTGCCGATCTTTCTGATCGACAAGCTCAGTGTCTTAACCACTGAGCCACCACCAATGTTAGGATATTTAAGTTTAGTAGGTGGAACAGTAACGTGCACAATGGGCCACAGTTGTAGTTGATTGATGGGAGACTGCTGGCTCCTGCATGAGGCAATCTACGCTATGATTGGTTGCGGTAGGTGTAAAGGGGAGGTTCCCTTTTTCCCGCCTTTTTTCCTGTGTGCTCTGTATGTGATTTACCTCATGATGTTCCTATCTTGTCTGCTGTAAATATAGAAGTTAAATATATTTATATAAAAATTACAAGTTCGTGTCAGCATCTCCAACTTCATTTGGACACCTGTGCAATTCCTTGACATCCCAAGTCTATTATTCTATGTTCTTCCAGAGCATGTTGTCTAGGCTAACAACTGCTCCTAACTTCCTTGGTCTTCACATTAACACCAAGCTTAATAACCACCTTATGACTAGCTAAAGTGCAAATTTGTGGCTCGTTCAGTTAACCCTGTTAGACTGGTTCATCATCCCCATTACTACGCCAGTTTGCTTAACCATGTTTTGCTGAATAAGCCATAATTACTTGAGTTTTGCACAACATTAACCAAAACCAAAGAAAGCAAAGATTTTGTGGGTTGAGTAAACCAAGATGCATAGGTGAGTTGCTGAAAAATCTAAAATGAATTGTTGAAAATATGGTTTAGGCCGAGGGTCAGCAACCTGCGGCTTCGGAGCCGCATGTGGCTCTTTGGGCCCTCTGCTGTGGCTCCTTGTCGGGTGATCCCACCACTGACTGGTCCCGACCCTCGCCCTCCCCTCCCAGTCACTCCTCGCCTGGCCTGAGAAGATAAGGGCGACGGGGGATGGAGAAGCGGCCAGGGCAGAGACAGAGAGATACAGAGAGAGGGGGAGAGAGAGAGACATAGATATAGAGAGAGGGAGGGAGAGAGAGAGACATAGAGAGATACAGAGAGAGTGGGAGAGAGAGACAGAGAGATACAGAGAGAGGGGAGAGAGAGACATAGAGAGATACAGAGAGGGAGAGAGACAGAGAGAGATACAGAGAGAGAGGGAGAGAGAGAGATACAGAGATACAGAGAGAGGGGGAGAGAGAGAAAGACAGAGAGAGATACAGAGAGAGGGAGAGAGACATAGAGAGATACAGAGAGAGGGAGAGAGACATAGAGAGATACAGAGAGAGGGAGAGAGAGACAGAGAGATACAGAGAGAGGGGGAGGGAGAGACAGAAAGATACAGAGAGAGGGGGAGAGAGACACATAAAGAGATACAGAGAGGAAGAAAGACAGAGAGAGATACAGAGAGAGAGGGAGAGAGAGATACAGAGATACAGAGAAAGGGGGAGAGAGAGAGAGATACAGAGAGGGAGAGAGAGAGAAACAGAGAGATACAGAGAGAGGGAGAGAGACATAGAAAGATACAGAGAGAGTGGGAGAGAGAGACATAGAGAGATACAGAGAGAGGGAGAGAGAGACAGAGAGATAAAGAGAGAGGGGGAGGGAGGGAGGGGGAGAGAGAGAGAGAGGTCAAAAGGGTTTTGTGGCTCCTGGTGTTTTCTTTTCTGTGGGAAACGGGTCCAAATGGCTCTTTGAGTGCTTAAGGTTGCAGACCCCTGGTTTAGACCACTGGTCAATGACACTGAAAACATGACTTATAAATGTTTTTCACTTATGAAATGGTGATTTCATAAGTTATGATCATGGGGATTTGCAGCATCCCCATGATCATGTGATCAAAATTCAGATACTTGGCCACTGGTTCACATTTATGACCGTTGCTGTGTCCCAAGGTCATATGATCCCCTTTTGTGACCATCTGACAAGCCAAGTCCATGGGGAAACCAGATTCACTTAACAACCGGGTTACTAACTTATCACCTGCAGTGATTCACTTAACAACTGTGGCAAGAAAAGTTGTAAAGTGGGGCAAAATTCACTTAAATGTCTCACTTAACAACATAAATTTTGGGCTCAGTTGTGGTCGTTAAATTGAGGACTACTTGTACAGATGAAGCTTCGCTTGCTCGCCTGCCGCTCACCTACAACTGTGAAGTTTTTAACTGGCCATGGACCAGTACAGACCAGTCTGATATTGGTTTGTGGCCCTGGGATTGGGGACCCCTGGTTTAGCAATATATTTTTTAACAGTAACAAAGTTGGAAGGGACCTTGGAGGTCATTTAGTCCAACCCCCTGCTCACGCAGAGACCTGTACTAGGGATTCGAACCGCCGAACTGCCGACCTTTCTGATCGACAAGCTCAGTGCCTTAGCCACTGATGAAATTCATTGTAAGACTTGCACGTGAACTATTCATTGGCTTGATTGACCCATCAAAAGTATGCCTTGTTTCGCTTAGCTCAATATGTGACTGACTCACAGCTGTTTGTAAAGCATAGTTTGTGGCTTAGGGTTAGGGACGGGTTAAGCCACTATGCCTGATCAATGCACTCTTTCAAACCACAGTTTGCTCAGTCATGGCTCATAGCTATGGTTTCTGGTTGAATAAACCATATCCGTGTCTCTGCATAATACAGTCAATCCAGCACACCCCATTGTAGTTTAAGAGTTTGACGCAAGGACAACTCTCTCTAAGCACAGACTGGTTTAAAGAAGCCAGGATTTCAAATCCTGGCTTCTTTAATTCCCTACAAGGATACATGAAGTTGTGCGACCTCCCTCCCCATGAATAACTTGGGAAGGATACTGCAAACTCCCAATCCCCTCCCCACTCCTGGGGGAAGGATACTGCAAAATCCCCATTCCCTCACCACATCAGGGGAAGGGTACTGCCAAATCCCCATTCCCTCCCCACTCCAGGGGGAGGATACTGCCAAATCCCCATTCCCTCCCCACTCCAGGGGAAGGATACTGCAAAATCCCCATTCCCTCCCCACTCCAGGGGAAGGATACCACAAAATCCCCATTCCCTCCCTACTCCCAGGGTAAGGATACTGCAAAATCCCCATTCCCTCCCCACTCCTGGGGGGAAGGCTACTGCCATTACCCATTCCCTCCCCACTCCTGGGGGCGGGAAGGATACTGCAAAATCCCCATTCCTTCCCCACTCCTGGGGGAAGGATACCGCAAAATCCCCATTCCCTCCCCACTCCTGGGGAAAATCCCCATTCCCTCCCCACTCCTGGGGGGAAGGATACTGCAAAATCCCCATTCCCTCCCCACTCCTGGGGGAAGGATACCACAAAATCCCCATTCCCTCCCCACTCCTAGGGGGAAGGATACCGCAAAATCCCCATTCCCTCCCTACTCCTAGGGGTAAGGATACCGCAAAATCCCCATTCCCTCCCTACTCCTAGGGGTAAGGATACCACAAAATCCCATTCCCTCCCCACTCCTAGGGGTAAGGATACTGCAAAATCCCCATTCCCTCCCTACTCCTGGGGCTGGAAGGCTACTGCAAAATCCCCATTCCCACCCCACTCTTGTGGGGGGACAGCCAGAGGTGGCATTTGCCGGTTCTCCCCAACTGCTCCAAATTTCCGCTACCGGTTCTTCAGAACCGGTCAGAACCTGCTGGATTTCACACACACACACACACACACACACACACACAAGTCCAAGAAACTCTTCCATCAGCGTCGTAGTTTAGTGCAACGCCGCGCGGGGGGGCCCAGGCTCGGTTCGGCTGGGCTCCGCTTGCCTTTTGCCCGGTTCCCTCGCCGGCTAAGCAAACGCCGGAGCTCCGAAGAAGAAGAAGACCCCCCCCCACCTCTGTAGCAGGAGGGGGCTGGCAGTGGGGCGGAGCCGGCAGGGCGGACGGACGGACGGACGGGCGGGGTGAGAGTGACTCACTCCCCCGGCTGGTCTGGGCGAGAGAGCCCCAGCGAGCCGCCTCCAGCCCCGGAGCGCGAGGAAGAAGCAGCCGCCACCGCCGCGCTCTCGCTCTCTCCCTCTCTTTCTCTGCGCGCCCACCTGCCTTCCTTCGGCCCCTGCGGAAAGGCGGAGTTGCAGCTCCAGCTCCCGCCAGCTGCTGCTGCTGCTTCTCCCGCTTGCAGGGCTTCCCTTCCCTGCGCTCTCGCCGCCGACGGAGCCCGGACTCTGAGCCGAAGAGGACGACGAAGAAGAGGAGGAGGAGGAGCGCGCGTGGCTCGCCTATTGTTTCCCAGCAGCGGCGGCGGAGGAGTTTTTTGGGGTCCGCGGGGGGAGGGGGGGGGACACACCTGGGCCTCCCCCCCACCTTGAAAGGCTCGCCTGCGCCCGGGAAGGACCCCCCCCCCGTCTCTCCCTCCTTCCGAGCGGTAAGTTGGCCCGTGCGCTGGAGAGAGCGAGAAAAGTTTCCTCCAAACTTTTCGCTTGGACTGGGGGAGGGTGGAAGGGGGTCCCTGCAAGCGCGGCCTTTCCAGGGGTCCCGAGCCTCGTTTTTTTTTTTGGGGGGGGGGGAAGGGGGTAGCTTTTCCCGGTGGGGGGGAGGGGGGGAGAGAAAAAAATGCGTGGGGGGGGGGGGGGGGGGGAGGCAATAGGCAAAGTTCCCGCTGGGATTCAGCTGAGCCCGGAGTTCTCTCCATCGCCCCCGGCGTTTGGCGCCTGGCAGTGCAAGGGCTTGGGGACCAGGAGTAAGGGGGGGGGGAGATGGGGTATGGTGGGTGGGTGGGGGGGTCTGGAAGGGAGCCTCCGGTGGGAACCCCGGCCCGCTGTTCCCGGAGGGTGCGAGATGGTGGGTGGGTGCGTGGGTGGGTGGAGGAGGGGGGCCGCTTACCGGTTGCGGATGTGCGGGGAGGTCAGGAGGAAAAGGCGGCGGGGTTTTGCAGAGGTTGGGTCGGTGGGTGAGCCCGGGAGACGGACAGACAGACGGACGGACGGACGGAAGAGTAGGTGGGTGGGTGGGTGTTGGCCGCAATCCCGGTTCGGTTTGCTGCGTGCCGCTCGTGTTTCTTCCCCGAATAAGCGGGCATCGCGGTACACGCGTACAGACGTGCGTGGGGTTTTGCAACCATGCAGACGTGCGTGGGGTTTTGCAAGCCAGGGAGAAAAGGGGGTCGGTGGTTTTCCTACACCCGGCCGCTCCAAAGCTCGAGAGACCCTTGGTTTCTCTTTGCTTCCTTTCTCTTCTCCTGGACTCCGAGCGAGTGGGGGAAATCTCTGAAATGAAGGGAGGGGGAGGGGGGTCCTCTGAGATACTCCTTTACTTTAAGGATCCCTTAATTAACTTATATATCTGGGGGGGGCGTTAAAAATGTACCCGGGATCTCAGAGGCCACTTCGGATTTTAAAGGCAGCAAACGTTTGGAGCAGGGGTGAAATCTACCGGTTCTGGAGAACCGGTAGCGGAAATTTGGAGTAGTTCAGAGAACCGGCAAATACCACCTCTGGCTGGCCCCAGAATGGGGTGAGAATGGAGATTTTGCAATGTTCCTTCCCCTGGAATGGGGAGGGAATGGGGATTTTGCAGTATCCTTCCCCTGGAATGGGGAGGGAATGGGGATTTTGCAGTATCCTTCCCCTGCCATGCCCACCAAGCCACAACACACCCAGCAAGCCGGGCACCACAGAACTGGTAGTAAAAAACATTTGGATTTCACCACTGGTTTGGAGCTATGGTGGAGCTTGACGGGTTTACTTGAAGTTTTCTCCTTCCCAAAGTAGCAATTGCTCCTTCCTTGGATGGGATCCCTTGCTTTTTTACCCCCCCCTCTCCCTCCGCTTCCAAAAATGTGCATTGTGGGCACCTCGGGGACTTAGGAAAAAGTCTTGTTTTGTTTTGCGATGGAATTTCTTGACGTAATAGAGTTGGAAGGGACCTTGGAGGACATCTAGTCCAACCCCCTGCTCACGCAGGAGACCTGTACTAGGGATTCGAACCGCCGCACTTCTGACCTTTCTGATTGAGAAGCTCAGTGTCTTAGCCGCTGAGCCACCTAGTACATGGATGGAGCTGGGTAAATCCTTCGATTTGGTACCCTCCCTGGATTGCAGCTACCTTAGGATTCCCAGCTAGCATGGATTCTGGAGCCCAGCAATGCTGGAGAACTTAAGGGAGGAAAAGTTGTACTGTCTATGGAGAGTCTCAATCATCCAGGTTATGGTTGTCCCTTTTTAAACCAAAAGGCAGTGGACTTCCCTGTTTCTTTTCTTTTGAAAACGTTTTGCTTCTGGTCCAAGAAGCTTCCTCAGTTCTCTTCGGTTCAATTCTGAAGAAGCTGCTTGAAAAGGAAGTCTTCAAGAAACTCCAGTTATCTTTTGGAGAAAAAAAAAACCCCACCTTCGGGAAAAGGCTGGTATTGTATAAGTAGTGATGGTTTTTGGTTCATTGAGAAAGCCAGGTAGTTTAGAGATCTGTTACAGGTAGTCCTCGACTTACAAACAGTTCATTTAGTGAACCGTTCAAAGTTACGACGGCGCTGAAAAAAGTGACGTCACCATTTTCACACTTTAATTTAACTTAATTTAATTAATTAAATTTATATGCCGCCCCTCTCCGAAGACTCAGGGCGGCTCACAATACATTTTAAAAAATAATTATAAAAAGACATTGAAAAATTAAAAACATTAAAAACTCATTCACGCCAATCATGGCCGGATCTCACCAGATCACAAGATCACACTTGTGACCTTTGTAGCATTCCCCATGATCATGTGATCGAAATTTAGACGCTCGGCAACTGATTCATCCTTACGACCATTGCTGTGTCCGGTGATTCTTCTTTTGCGACCTTCTAATAAGCAAAGTCAACAGGGAAGAAGCCAGATTCACTTAACAACCAGGTTACTAGTTTATCAGTGGCAGTGATTCACTTAACAACCTGTGGCAAGACAGCTCGTAAAATGGGGGGGGAGCAAAACAAATGTCTCACTTAACAATAGAAATTTTTGGTCTGGTCATAAGTCGAGGACTATCTGTACTGGGCGAGCTGTCTTTTTCGTACGGCAAGAATGAATTGAGGCTACAAATAGCAGCTGGGAAGGTCCCCCTTTTGCAACCTTTTGACAAGCAAAGTCAAGGAGGACACCAGATTCACTTACAAACGTGTTACTAACTTAACAACTGCAGTGATTCAGTGAACAAAAAATGGCAAAGAAAAATCTCAAACTGCCTGCTCGGTTGCCAAGTAGAAGCAAAAACAGGGGAACGAGGGACAGAAGGTTCCCCTTATTGCTGGGAGCTCCTTCCAGGCAAACGAATGCATCGCCAGGCTCACTCCACCAAGCCAAACTGCTCCTGTCTGTGTACTCTGTTAGTATTGACCCAACAAATGGAGTTTGGGGCATATTGGCCACCTGTTAAAAGTTTGAAATCTATTTGATGAGGTGGCAAGAGTTGGCAGGAGGCTTGTTTACAAGGCAGCGGTGCAATTTATGTGTAAATTGGCTCGAAGGGGCCTCTCACTATGTTGATTTTTCTTCTGGAGGGGTTGAATATTAAATCTGTCCCTTCGCTTACGTGGCTGGTTTTCAGCAAGGGATTAGCAAGCTGACTGCTGCGTTGGCTGGCAGGCACTGGTGTTTGAGCAGAGTCCTGTGACATCATTAAGAGTGGGCCATGATGTCAGTTCCCATGGACTACAGCAGTGTTTCTCAACCTTGGAAGCTTGAAGATGGGTGGACTTCAACTCCCAGAATTCTGGGAGTTGAAGTCCACCCATCTTCAAGCTTCCAAGGTTGAGAAACACTGGACTACAGCAATGGTGTCCACCCTTGGCGACTTTAAGACCTGTGGACTTCAACTCCCAGAATTCCCCAGAATTCAGCCAGCTAAGGGAGTTGAAATCCAGAGGTCTTAAAATTCCCCAGCCAGAATTCTGAAAGTTGAAGTCCGCGAGTCTAAAAATTGCCAAGGTTGGACACTCCTGGACTATAGTGCTCAGCTGGTACAGGAAGTCCTCGACTTACCGCAGTTCATTTAGTGACCAAAGTTACAACGGCACTGAAAAAAAGTGGCCATTTTGCACACCGATTTGACTATTGCAGCACTCAACTTGGCAACATAAATTTTGTGCTCCATTGCGGTCATAAGTCGAGGACTATCTGGTGCTGAATGCCGTCCCTCCATAAGCTTGCTGGGAGAGGAGATAAGCCACAGGCCTCCAGAGCAAGGACATTTTAGACAGATGGTTAGACCTGTGACATGTCTCCTCCTTGCTCCAAGGTATGCAAGATAAGGGAAAGGTTACCAGGTGCTCCCAAGGGTGTGTGCCTCCACTCCGAGATTAGGTACAGTGACGCGTTGTGCAAATACAAATGCAAAAGAGTGTTTGATTGGTTCACCAAGGTCATTGCAATATAGCTATAAAATCAGATGTTGTGCTGTGGAACATGAGTCCTGCAGGTGTTTTTATGTTCTCTTATGTTCCAGACCATAGCTGCCTCTTCATGATTAATTGCCAGCTCAGGAGGGAATAATATCTTAATATTCCCATTTATAAGCATACAAATATTTATAAAACACACGCCTTAAGGGATAGACAGGGCTATTTAGAATCAACTTTGAAGCAAACTGTTTCTCCCTTTGATACTTTGGGGGCCAGTTAATCTCTCTTATTCCTCCTGCTTCTATTCACTTTGGTGTGTGCAGTAGCTAAATATCCAACAGTATCGGAAAAAACATAAGAGTTTTTTTTTAAAAAAGAATTGAATATCTTTTAAGTACTTTCCTCCAAATAAAAGCTCCTCTCCCCATCATTAATTGAAAAGGCACCTTCAAAAAGCACTGTAATTATTTTTCAATAAATAAATAAATAGAAACTGTGATAGCGTACCTCAAGATAAGGGGTTTTTCCATCTAGGATATTTTGAAAGACTTAATTATGTGCAATTTCAACAATGTTTCTGTTTGGATTATGGCTGTATGGTGGTTGGGTTAATATGTTAGGTGCAGGACAGAAAGCACAGTTTTCAGCCTGGGTTAGAACTGCAAAGGTAAAGGTTCCCTTGGCACATATGTGCTAGTCGTTCCTGACTCTAGGGGGCGGTGCTCATTTCCGTTTCAAAGCCGAAGAGCCAGCGCTGTCCGAAGACGTCTCCGTGGTCATGTGGCCGGCATGACTCAACGCCAAAGGCGCACGGAACGCTGTTTCCTTCCCACCAAAGGTGGTCCCTATTTTTCTACCTGCATTTTTTACCTGCTTTCGAACTGCTAGGTTGGCAGAAACTGGGACAAGTAATGGGAGCTCACCCCGTTACACAGCGCTAGGGACTCGAACCGCTGAACTGCCGACCTTTTGATCAACAAGCTCAGCGTCTTAAGCCACTGAGCCACTGCGTGAACTCTATATGGTGTTAAATCATAATAGTACTTGGTTTT